TCCTCTACTCCGCAGCGTTCGCACAAGGGATCCTCAGCCACCCCCATCACGTGCAGGTGACGCCTTAACGAGTTATGGCCAGACAACAGTCCCACCAGCTACCTTAGGTTGGCTCTACCCAGAGATAGGCAGAAGCGTCCATCCTTAGCACTGGGCCCTTCAACGAGCTCTCGTGCCTGGCGGAGATGTCTAGAGATACTTCTCCATTTCTGAGAGTGTTGTATTGCAACCCACGTCTCCATTTTCCTCCTAGCTTTATGCGCGGTTACTCCTAGAGCTGGCTCAGGACCAACGAGCTTGCTGGCTGATCTTGTTTTCGCCAGTGTCCGCCGTCTCATTGCCCCTTATCCCAGCGTGCTCCGGTACCCATATTAACGATACCGGATGCCTCGCTGCGTGGCAATCCAGAGCCTCCCTGCATTGCAATACAAGACTTTCATTGCAGCCTGACTGTCGGATAAGATTGTTATTCTTCTCCTAGGCACACCCTCCTCCAGAATGTGAGATACACAAGCCAGAATCGCAAAGATTTCCGCCTGGAAAATGGTGGTGTATCCACCGAGAGGCAGAGATAGCCTAGTTCTAGGCCCAGAGACCCCAGCACCTGAGCCCTCTTCGGTGACCGAGCCGTCCGTGTACCAGACCTGCCCGCTCACTTCGGAGAGTCCCCGGCTACCGGCGTCCCACTCCTCCCTCGTTGGATACTCCACCATAAACTTGCGGTTGAAGCGATATTTAGGGGTAATACGATCACCCCTGCTTAGAAGGACGGGGTCCTCCCTTTCTAATTCGACTAAGATGGCAGTATGCCGCTTGACAGGATTCAAGAAAGCCCAGCTGCCCTGACTCCACAGTCGATGAGCGAGTACTCTCGCTTCACCGCGGATCACCAGATCCAACGGTGGGAGATCCAACAGAGCTTCCATTGCACTCAATGGCGTTGTTTGCACTGCGCTTGTAATGCTAATACAGGCCAAACGCTGAATTTTATTGAGTTTGGCCTTAGTTGACTCAGTTCTAATGTAAGGCCACCAGACCAGGGAGCCGTACAAGAGAGATGGACGTACTATCGTCGTGTAGAGCCAGTATACCACTTTGGGTTTAAGCCCCCCCCTTACCCCGACAACACGTCTACAAGCCCATATCGAATTGCGAGCCTTGCTAACCTTGTATTCCACATGCTCCTTCCAGTTCAGTTTGCAATCCAGGATAATTCCCAGATGTTTCACTGACTGGGACAAAACTAATCTAGTCCCAAAGAAGGTCGGCATGACCAGTCCGTCAAGCCTTCTTCTCCTAGTGAATAGGATCAGCTCGGTCTTTTCAGCATTAACAGAAAGATCGACTTCCCTACACCACGATTCCACGGAGCGCAGAACGCCCTGCATAATTTCCGAGACTGTTCTACAGAAACGCCCCCTAACTACTATGCTCACGTCATCAGCATAGGCTTGCGCATAGACACCCATACTGCTGAGCCTAACGAGGAGTTCGTTCACCACGATACACCACAGTAGGGGTGACAGAACTCCGCCCTGAGGGCATCCTCTAGCTACATTCACGCTGCAGCTTACGTTATTCAGCATAGCTGTCAGAGCCCCTGCAAAGCCTGTATGGGACCGCTCCAAGCTTACTGTCAATGTCTGCCCTAAAGGACCCCCATCTAGTATGCCTGGGATTCGACTCAAAGGCCAAGGCGGAAGTGCTAGCCAAGATCTTTGCTGCCAACTCCACCATGGACGTCCCCACCAACGCCCAAGTGCCGTCAATTCAAAGGGTTCCCCACACTATGCGGGAGGTAACATTCAGGCATAAGACCGTAAGACGAGTGCTCTTGTCGCTCGACATCAACAAAGCTTCTGGTCCGGACTTGATTCCTGCCATTGTACTGAAGAGATGTGCAGCGGAGCTTGCTCCAGTTCTTTCGCGTCTCTTCCAGATATCTTATGAATCCGGCACCTTCCCAGAAAACTGGAAATTTGCTCATGTACAGCCCATCCCAAAAAAAGGATCTAAAACCGACCCTTACAACTACAGGCCTATAGCTCTGCTTTCTGTTGTAAGTAAAGTGATGGAGAGGTGCATAAATCGCGAGCTTCTGGACTACCTCGAGCGTCACAGCTTGATTAGCGACAGGCAGTACGGTTTCCGGCACCAACGATCCACAGAGGACCTCCTAGCTTACGTCACGCAACTGTGGAGTAAACTCATCCAGTCTCATGGTGAGGCTCATGTCGTTGCTCTTGACATCACGAAAGCGTTCGATCAGCTGTGGCACACTGCCCTCTTAAGCAAACTTCCATCCTACGGCCTCCCAGAAAAGCTTTGCAGATGGGTGGCTGACTTTATCTCTGGCCGCAAGATATCCGTCGTAATTGACGGATTCTCCTCTTCATCCAACAACGTCAACGCGGGTGTTCCCCAGGGATCGGTCTTGGCTCCAACACTGTTTCTCTTACATATCAACGACCTCCTTTCCTGCACGATCAACCCAATCCACAGCTTCGCTGATGACAGCACTCTACATGCAGGAATTCAGAGTGACAAGCCGATCTTTGCCGCTGAGCTGGAAAAAAGAAGACTAGCGACGACTTCTTCTCTGACAAGAGACCTGGAGGCTATCACTGCTTGGGGACGCAACAATCTTGTACAGTTCAATGCTTCCAAAACACAGTACTGTACTTTGACGAACAAAAAGCGTCCTAGGGCTCATACAGTTTCGATGGATGGTCGAGTTCTACCAAAGGGCCATTCATTTCGGCTGGTCGGAGTCCAGATCACCGAGGACCTGATCTGGCACGAACACATCTCTTCAATAGCTGCAGCTGCTGGGAAAAGCTAGGCTATTTGTTTAGGGCTAAGAAGTACTTTTCTCCGCATGACCTTCTCACTCTATACAAGGCCCAGATAAGGCCTAGCCTCGAGTATTGCTCACACATTTGGGGTGCTGCCGCCCCGACTACATTGTCCATGCTCGATGCTGTCCAGAGGAGGGCGGTCCGACTGATCGATGACTCTTCTCTAACAGACAGTCTCGGGACTCTTTCGCACCGGCGGGCCGTCGGCGATCTAGCTCTTTTCTATCGCTACACCAACGGGCTTTGCTCCTCAGAGCTCTCTTCTATGATGCCGCCGCGCGATGTGCCTGCCAGACAGACCCGCCTGACTTCTTCGTCCCATCCTGACCGTGTCAAACTTCGTACATCCAGAACTGGCCGATACGACCGCTCCTTTGTCCCGAGGGTGTCTAGATTGTGGAACAATCTACGGGAGGAAGCTTTTCCCAGTTCTACTGACCTTGGGCAGTTCAAAAATCGTATTAACAAAGTTTCTTTGGGATCATCATAGCAGCCGCGGTGTTCCGGCATTTAGGCTTCTGCCTGCGCGGCTGTTTCGATATAAAAAAAAAAAATTCCGAACATATTTATCCGGAATCTGTTGCTGGTACCTGCAATGACCTTCCAGCTTATGGAATCAACTGAGAGGACAAGTTGGACACCTTTGTGTTCTTCCTTCCTCTCAAGTAGCCTCCACGCGCTGGGAAAAGTCCAGGATTGTGCCTCCTGAGTCTCCTCGTGATGACCTCGTTGTCCAGGTTGGGAACCGGGAACCAGGACATCACGCGGTGGTATATGGGAAGGTCTCCAAAGCTCATCGTAATGAGCCCTGCGCCTTCCCACGGCCGCAGATCCCCCACGTGGGCCTCCAACCATGCCCTAGAGGATTCGTCCTCGCAGACAAAGATGGCTGCCCCTCGAAAGAGGTAGCAGTCAATGTACCTGGGAAGGGCCGCCTCATCTGGGAGCCCATCTATCAGCACACTGACCGCCTCCTGGACCTGCTGCACCTGTACGTCGGTAAGTTGAGTCCCAGGATAACCGTCGGACGCGACAGCCACCCTGAGACCCGCTTGGGACGCTCGCGCATAGCTAATTTGCGCATGCGTCGCAGTGCGAGGCTTCTTCCGCGAGGATGCGCCCTCCGGTGTCCCACCGGCAGACCTCTGCCGCTTCCCGTCGCCAGGCCGCTTTAGGGCCTCCGCTGACACACCGGATTGCGCACCGTCTAGCCCAGATGGCGGTTGCGTCCGTCCAGCCGGAGTCCCAGAAGTGGTGCCCCGACCTTCCGAGCCCTCCGTCATCTGCGCCTCTCTCCGCTTCCGAGCCCTCTTCCTTTCGGAACCTGGCCAAGACTTCTTCTTAATTTTTAAAGAGCCCACCCTTTCCGCTAGCTCTCTCGCTAAGCTTCGTAAGTACGTAAGCTAAGTACGATCAGGGTCCCTGGTGAGGGGCCGCCTGGATGTTCGGGGTCCCCTGTAGGGGGGCCTCGGGTTTTTTATTATTTTCATTGGGTTCCATATTGTTCCCACGAGTATAGGGGAAGTGGTGGTCGACGTCCGCGGTGCCCCTACACGGACGCAAGGCTGGATACTCTGGGAGGTCGCCCGGTGTCCCAGAGGCTCCGTTTAAGACGGTGCATCCCCACCGCCACGCACCCCTCGGCACGGAATCGCTTAACACCTTGGGTTGGGTAAAGTACCATTGCCCATGATGACCGTTGAGCTGCAGGCGTCCCAGATATACATCCGAGACACGTGTGGCTCATCGAATCATTCGATTGGCCGGGCTACCGGCTTTCCGGCGGGTCTCCTCAAAAACTGAACGAGGCGGTCCACCGCAAGACCGGCACTCCGTTGCCCCCCCACACGGTCGCACACGGTTCAGCGCCCAAGGCCGCCCCGCAGAACGAACTCGAGGACGTACGGGTTGGATTTTGTAGGAGTCTGTAAGTACTTACTGGTGTTATCTCTTGTATGGTTACTTCTCCAGAAGATTGGGTACGATGTTTCTCACACTTTGCGTATATACCAGGAGCAGGTATTTTTTTGATAGATAAGTTGACGACTGTTATATATATATTGTAAGTACCCAGCGAACCCCACCTTTGCTAGTTAAGAAATGTATGATGTATGTGGTTGACATGGCATTGTACTGTTTCAGGGAAAGGTAGAAGCAGAAATGGAAGTGGTAACACAAGAAGAAGCGTTGTTAGATCCAGTTGGCTTGGGTAGGCGAGAGCCACAAGCCCTTCCACCGCCCAAGTAAGTAACACAGTTTTTCGAGCGACTGAAACTTATCCTGTAACTGTTTTTCTTAGGAGTCCACATAATTCACTGGCCGCCAAATTAAGCTACAGATGCGGAACAGAAAATAATTCACTGACATTTCAGCCACGTTGACGGCCTTTGTGTAAGTACAACGATAATGACAACATTCTTATTAATTTTCCGGTTCTGTATCTGTGGTTACATTTGGCGACCAGCAAAACATGGCAATTAAACCGGCTTGTGGACAACCAAATGGTCGTAGCTAGATGTTTCTTTTTTAGGTCCAACGAATTTATAGCAAAGTCGAATCAAGGATAAATTTGAATGTTCTGAAATTAGTTACTGATTCGATCCTCTGTTTACCTGGAAAGGAATCCGAGTAAACTTATTCCACTCCATGGATATTCCTAGTGACGCTACATTGAATAACGTACCCTAGTGAGCGCGTTTATGGCAAATCGTTGTTACGGAAGTTGTTGTATTCAGTATACAACTGCTTCCCGTTCAAGTGGTTGACACGCGTTTAGGAATACCTCAATACCGATTGCCGGGTGGTGGTACAAGTCCGCCATATAGCCACTTCAGGTAGATTTAATATGAACTAACATGCAAAAAGAAGGTAGTATACAAAGAGCAGTCGACCGAGGCGGTACCATCCAGTAGCCTTTTCTAGGGTGGCTAAGGAATATCTGCATGTTTCCACACCTAAGCTATGCAGGCTATCTTCCCCAACAAAGACTTTGATAATAATTAATCACCTGGGTACTAGGAATTCCGGGCGTAACCTCACTACATTCTCGGAATGTCCGGGTGGAGAGCGGACTTGACGGAACAACATCGATGACAAAATTTATTTCACGAACATATGCATTGCTGCTGTTCATCACTGCCTGCAATCTAATCGTTCCGCCATGCTTTTCTTGGTGGAGACAAAAATCTCCGTTTCTGCACCTATCAACCATCTTAGCATCCTAAACTACGAAGTGCACTACAATCTGAGAAAGAACGGGGGGTTGTGGTTCTTGTTTGCAACAGTTTTTCCTGCGCCAGAGGCGTTTCTTTGGAATCAGACCGGAAGGACATTCTGTGGCTCCGCCTCAACTCCAAAACACCCCATACTGTCGGCATCGGCTTCCTAAACATCTATCACCTCGCTTCACAGGTAGTTATCTTCGACGATTTCAAGGCCCATTATGAGCGCTGGTTGGGCTAAAACAAGGAAAATGAAGCGGGGCGTGTACTTGAAGCGTTCGCTATTTCCCAAGAGCTGACCCACGTAATGACGAGCCTTAGTTTCTACCCCGCGTTTCGTCACACAACAGTTTCGTGCTGGATCTTTTTCTGTCCACGCCTCCTGACCCTTACAGCACTACTATCCTGTTTCCCCTGGTTAACTTGGACCACGTTGTCGTGGAGGAAAGGTTTTAGTCAGAACCCTCTGGCAGCAGGAACTCGCCCAGACAGCAAAATTTTGTATTACAGACATGCCGACTGGAAGGAGCTCAGAGGCTTCTTCTTCACCTTACCTTGAAGAGATGTTTGTTTCGTTCATGCGGATTCGTCGGCTGCCTGTTCATCGATAACTGAAATTATTGGCGTTAGGACGGAGGAATACATCATTCATACACTGAAAGTGCCAAAACCAGGGTCCAACGGCCGGTTCAAAAAATCGTGCAACACTGCTCGTTAGCAGAAGATCAAGGCACACAGAAATTTTTTACAAAACTCAACTGTAGATAACAGACAAGTCGGCGTTGAGTCCAGAAATAAACAGATCAAGGCGGTTCGCAATGCCAAAGGCCAGCAGGATATAAAAGCTAGGCATAGTGTAATGGCGCAGCGCAGTTGGTAGTAGTAGGGGGTGTGACCCTCTTCGAGTGCAACAGATGGGAGCAACAAAGGGCACAAGACGTTGTTAGCCTAGGACACGACCTGACGGAGAGTAACCTGATGAGCACCATGATGGCGAATAATGAATCGTGGGTAAAAATACAGAAATTCAGCAGGGGCATATTATCCACCAAGAAGAAGGATGAAAGAGCGGACAGCCCAAACTCGTAATACATATACCTGGAAAATGTACTGTAAAAACCGCCGAGGAAACAAAGACATGTGTGAGACACAGTCATGCTGGTAGTAAGCGCGGGCGAATCCCAGCATGAGGGTGGGGAAGTGGCATTTAGCCCATGTGGCATAACCTGAATGCGGATACTATCTAGTATCCGTATTCAGGTATCTCTTTGAGATTTCCCCTCAAGAAAATAGAAAATAGTAGTAGAAGTAGTAATAATAATAGTAGTATTTATTGGCCATGTTGATACATAAGTATATATGGCAGATCAATACAAAGAAAAAATAATTAATCAAATAAATAAACAAATCACAGCAAAAACCGTATAGATAGAAAGTAGCTTTAACATGCTAAGGCATACACAAATATTTGATAACTCATATTTAATTATATTATCTGTCATTGTGTTTTAAAAATTCACCAATCGTATAAAACCCTTCACCTGATAAAAATGATTTCACTTCAAATTTGAAATTTTTTAATGCTCTCATTTTTTTTGAAATGCTGAGGCAGCTTATTATAAAATATTATACAGTTGCAATGAGGTGAGCGCTTGAAGCGACTGGTGTTGTGTTTGAAGACAGTTAATATCGCACAGCTTCTATTATCATATGTGTGGTAGTGCCCTAGACTCTCGAACTGGTTAGGGCTGGGTTAGGTTTCTTGTGGGTGCATCAGTAACGGACCCTCCACTGCGACTCTGGTCGATTGTAGCTCACACCTATTTATATTTCCTCCAGTATCTGCGACCTCCTGAGAAAGTCGATTAACTTGTTTGGAAAAATACACTTCAAGCCTTCTGCTTGGAGTACTACGTCTCCAAGTATGTTGTACCTGATTCTGGCAATTATAGGGCTTCTGCACAATACATGCCTGACCGTTTCATCACCCTCTATGCACAGCCTGCACTCAGCGTCTTCCCCCATGCCCAGCCTGCTCATGTCGTGACGCAATTTGCAATGACTATTGTACAGTCCTACTAGAGCTTTAAGGCTATTCTTGTTCAGCCGTAGCAAAGAGTCTGTTACCCTCTTTGCCAAGATTCTTATAGTTGCCTTAGCATGGGTTAACCCTGCTAATCCCTCCCAGTATTGATGGACCTGCCTGTCCATCTCTGCAATATCATTTGTTTAGCCGTATTGAATGCAATCCCATTCGTTAGCTCAGGTCCCATGAAGGGTGTGCTAGCCCCACTTTTTGCCAGAGTGTCAGCTGTCTCGTTTCCCTCTAGACGTGTGTGTCCTGGTATCCATATGAAACGGACTTCATTTCCCTCCCCTATGTCACCGAGAGCTTCTTTGCAATTCCACACTAATTTCGATGTCGAGTAGGTGGAGTCAAGTGCTTTAAGTGCGGCTTGACTATCTGAGAAAATAATTATAGTTCTGTGTCTCAGTTGTCGTTCTGCGATCATTCTGGTACCCAATTCTATAGCATATAGCTCTGCCTGGAAGATCGATGCCCAGGTTCCTAGGCTAACAGATTTTTTCTCTTTAGCTTCGGCACGAAGATACTAGCTCCAACACCTATCTCGATCTTGGAGCAATATGTGTATGCACAGATATCTTTCCTTATCAGGTTAACTTGCTGTTCCCACTCATTCCTGTGTGGAATTGTCACTGAGTAGGGTTTAGCATATTTTGTTATCTTTGGCATTATATCAAAAGGCATTCCCAGACTGGGGTGGTTTTGTAAGTTCACCAGCATGTCCGTCTCCTCCATAGTGATATTGTCCATTATACCATTTGCCACATGATGTAGTTTATAAGATATCATTCTTGTCTCGCCTTCCAGGTATATGTGCAAGGGGGTAAGTTAAGAAGGACCAAGGACCTCTATAGCTGCAGTTGGCACCAGTGATCAACATACAAGCTTCTCTCTGTATCGCGCTCAGTTTGGCTTGGACAGTTCTTTGTGCTGCCTTGCAGCTACAGATCCATAGATTATCATAGGTCTAATGACCATGGTATAAAGCCAAAACATTTGTTTAGGCTTCATTCCCCAGTTCTTGCCACAAACCATTCGGCAGGTCCATAGCAAAATCCTTGCCTTCTTAAGGACTGCTTCCAGATGAGAATTTCAGTTTATTGTTTTATCGAAGATTATTCCTAGATATTTCGCTTCTTTTGCAAACGGTACGTTCTCACTTTGCTTTGTTGGAGGTTTAATCACATCCAGTTTTCTTTTTCTTATGAAAGGTTCGATGACCATTTTTTGCGGGTTGATTGACATTCCTTCCATAGCCGGATAATGGCAATCAGATTATCTACCAGGAGTGACCACAAAAGCGTAGATAACACCCCTCCCTGTGGACACCCCCTGGTAGCTCTAAATAAGAGTATCTCCCTCTGTAAGGATGTCGTTATGATTCTGCATGTCAACATGCTTCTGATTCAGCCGCAGATCAGAGGATCCACATCCCTGGAGGCGATTGATTCATAGAGGGATTCTGGTAAGGCATTGTTAAATGCTCCCTCTATCTCCAAAAGGCCGCTATGGCAGGAAATTGTTTCTTGTTTTCCAAGGACGCTTTGATGCTCGAAACCAAGTTGTTGAGAGCAAGGTCTGTTGATTTACCAGCCTGATAGGCATATTGATGCACACTTAAAGGATGTCTTTTTAGAGCGCCCCCCCTTATGTACTCATCAATTACCCTTTCAAGGCCTTTCAGCAGAAATGAGGTCAGACTAAGTGATCTGAGTGACTTCGCCACTGGATCTGTCCAGGTTTGGGTATATAGACTACCGTTGTCACCTTCCAGCCATATGTTATGTGTTTCCATGCTAGGCTGGCTCTGTAGAGTGCTACGAGGAATGGCATCAATATATCCAGTCCAACATGTAGTAGAGCTGGATACATGCCATGCTCTCCTGGCGATTTGAATGGCCTAAATGACTTTATCGCTCCTTTATCAGCATCAGTT